AAACGATGAATCTATATTGAAGCCCATATCGAAACTATGTAGAAACAAGTAGTCTAACAAAAGAGTTGGCGTACATTATTATCCTGTTAACGTAACGTTGCATGAGAATTAGTTTGGGGTACACTTTTCTTGAAGTCACATGGAACCGAATATAGCAGATTCGATAGTTCAGAAATCTAGGCAAAAATACATACATATGCTTGCTATGATTCTATATTATGATGTCANGGTCGGGTTCCTCAGTGGGTTATGGGGAATTGATCTTGGCCGTTGATCAATTTGAGATCAACGGCCCAGATCGGACTGGATTAAAACGGTGTCGTTTGGAACGCCCCCTGAGGCCAGCTGGTCTGGACCGGGTTTACATGGGGTTTGGGCTGAGTTTGTTTGGGCTTTGAATTAAAAATAAAGATAGGCCCAACCGATTTTTAAACCCAATTCTGCATCTCTTTTTTGTTATTTATATATATATATATTTTTTTTTTATTTTTAAAACAAAACCTAAGTAAATAAAAATAAAATTTCATAAACACTTAATACAATTATTTGCACACATATATCAAAATATTTAAAGCAGGCAAGATCGAACAAAACAACAATCACGGAACAAAGATGCATATTTATGATTTTTTTATTTAATAACCGGATTTTCGGTTCAAACAGCACATGACACACACATTTTTTTTTGTATTTTGTTTTAATAAAAATGGGCAAAAATCATAAATAATTAACAAAGTGCCATGTAAAAATCCAATTTGTACAGCAGGACCATTTGTTATTATTTTTTAATTCTTTTGGAGTGATTGTCGTGTAAAACAAAAATCACGTGCTCACAGTTGCGCATGTCCTGCTCAGTTTCCCAAGTCACCTCCTCAACCGGTTGACCCCTCCACTGGACCTTTACTGAGGCAATATTCTTTGACCTGAGTTTTCTGACCTGCATGTCCAAAATGATTACTGGCTCCTCAACATAAGATAGATCCTTATCCAACTGGACTGAGCTGAAATCCAATACATGAGCCGGATCACCGTGATACTTTCGGAGTATAGAAATGTGGAATACCGGATGAAATTCTGCTAGACTGGGAGGCAAGGCAAGCTCTTAAGCAACCTCCCTAAAGTGTCACAATATCTCAAAAGGACCAATGAAGCTCGGGCTCAACTTTCCCTTCTTCCCGAACCTCATAACGCCCTTCATAGGCGATACCCAAAGTAAGACCCTTTCACTAACCATAAATGCCAACTCACGAGCCTTCCGGTCCACATAACTCTTCTGTCTGGACTGGGTTGCGCGAAGTCTCTCCTGAATTACCTTTACCTTATCTAGGGCATCCTAGAGTTAACTTAGCTGGCCTTCCATTTGCCCTACGTGATCGTGAACCTCCTCCCGCGATCGCGATGAAGAACACACCAGTTGTAGAACACCAACAAACCAGCAAACTCCTTAAGTCCAAAAATGACCCGTTGAGCATTCGAAACTCACCCGAGGCCTCCGGGATCTCAACCAAACATACCAACAAGTCCTATAATATCATTCGAACTTAGTCGAGCATTCAAACCACCTCGCATAACATCAAAAACATGAATTAGGCATGAATTTAAGCCTAAGAACTTAGATTTTTTCCAAATTCTATAAATGATGCTGGAACACGTCAAACCTAGTCCGAATGACCTCAAATTTTACACCCAAGTCACAAATGACACTACGAATCTACATACACTTCCGAAATTCCATTCCGAGCTCGATATCAAAATTTCCCCTATCTGCCGAAATCGCCGAAAATCTAACTTTCGCCAATTCAAGCCTAAATCTACTACGAACCTCCAAAACACATTCCAGACGCGCTCCTAACCCCAAATCACTCAACGGAGCTAACAGAATCAACGGAATTCCATTCCAGATCTGTCTTCCCACAGTTTCGACTACGATCCAAATTTTAAAGTTTAACTTTACATCAAGTGACTAAGTGTCCCAAAACTCTCCGAATTTCTTAACTAATCACTCTGGCAAGTCCCATAAGCAGAAACAAACGTGGGGAAAACAGTTATTAGAGGATCGGGGCTCTAACTCTCAAAACGACCGGCCGGGTCGTCACAAAAACTCCGCAGGTGCGATTACACCGGCAGACTCCCAGCTTCAGCAATCATCCAAACTCCAAATCCGATTCGTTAACCATCTGAACTCCACCCGATGCCCCTAGGACCTCAACTAATTATACCAATAAGTTCTAAAATATGATACGAACTTAGTCAAGCCCTCAAATCATATCAAACAACATCAAAAATATGAATCTCACCCCAATTCAAGCTTGTTGAAACTAAAAAATTCCAACTTCTACAAACGACGTGAAACCTATCAAATCACGTCCGATTGACCTCAAATTTTCACACAACTCACAAATGATACCACAGACCTACTCCAACTTCCGAAACCCCAATCCGAGTCCCGTAACCATAAAGTCCACTCTCGGTCAAACTTCTAAATTTTCAACTTTCGCCATTTCAAGCCTAATTCAACTACGGACATCCAAATCACAATTCGAACACGCTCCTAAGCCCAAAAATTACCCAACGGAGCTAACACAACCATCAAAACTCCATCCCGGAGTCGTTTACACATAAGTCAACATTCGATCAACCATTTCAACTTAAGCTTTCAACCTTGAGACTAAGTGTCTCAACTCATTCTGAAACCTCTTTGGACCCGAACCAACTACCCCGACAAGTCATATAACAACAGTAAAGCATAAATTGAACAGTAACTGCGGGAACGGGGCTATAACTCTCAAAACGACCGGCCGGATCGTTACACGGACCCGACAACATGAGCCTTCACTTCTTTCTTTAAGCTTACTCATATCATTATCATGCCAAATAAAATAATAATAATAATAATAGTAATAATAATAATAATAATAATAATAATAATAATAATAATAATAATAATAATAATAATAATAGTAATAATAATAATAATAATAATAATAATAATAATAATAATAATAATAATAATAATAATAATAGTAATAATAATAATAATAATAATAATAATAATAATAATAATAATAATAATAATAATAATAATAGTAATAATAATAATAATAATAATAATAATAATAATAATAATAATAATAATAATAATAATAATAGTAATAATAATAATAATAATAATAATAATAATAATAATAATAATAATAATAATAATAATAATAGTAATAATAATAATAATAATAATAATAATAATAATAATAATAATAATAATAATAATAATAATAGTAATAATAATAATAATAATAATAATAATAATAATAATAATAATACGTGATAGTATTAAAAATTCTCTGACAAATTTATAGCTAGTCAACAAACCAACACGCCCAAAAACCATAATCTTACTTCTTTAGCAAATTTAGGGGTGGCTGCAAATAAGTTTCAGCGCATGACTATTCTTAATAACGCTACCAGTTTTATTTTATAGCTTTGTGGCAAATTTTCCATTTTGCGTGTCGACAAATTTCGTTTCTTGTTGGGTATCTGTTGCGAGAAAACGAAACGAAATGCATAAACTGCATTATGAAATGAAACCAAAGAAAAAAAAAGTAGGATATATAGGTAGTTTAAAGTCTTAAATTTTTTGAAGAACTAATCACACCAAAAAAAAAGAAGATAAAATAAACACTAAACTTCCTTCTTATTGATCTCAATAATTACAACCGAATTCTAATTATAGAACCCAAATCTATTCTTCATCATCAATTCTTCTCATTATCTTTATCACCTTTGGCACCATCATTAGAAGGAGTTCCAGGAAATGGAGGAAATATTGGAGGAAATTTAAAATCAGGCAATGGTGGAAAAGCAATTGGAGGAATTGGTGGAAATTTAAAACCAGGCAATGGTGGAAGGGGTAATTTTGGCACATCACCGCCAGGAATTGGAGGAAAAATATTGCCACCACTATTAGATTTTGGTGGTGGTGGGACAAATGGAAAAGCGCGTCGTGACCAATGAACAGTAGCACTTTTTGTCACATAAGATTTCTCGATACTTGTGCTTTCAACTTTAGTCTCCGAGAAAGAATAGCCGAACAATAAAAAAATGCAAAAGGAGAAGGAAACAAGAGTCGAAAAGAAAGTTTTCTTAGTCATGATGTTAGTGACTTAGAGAATTTGGTTAAATGAATTGTAATACTATAAAGAATGGAATTTATAGTTTGAGAGATGAATCATTTTGATTAGGTAAGTGATCTGAAATGGTATAATTGTATATTGGGGATTTGAAAATGTTATGAGGAGGATTAGAAAGTTAGATAAGAGATTGAGTTTGATAAGAGATTGAGTTTGATAAGGTGATTTAAATAACCTAAGACATAAATCATAAAGATAATAACCTAAATAAAAATATGTGATCATTAAAATATTGATCTAATACTTATCTTCGTATCTTCAGTGTTAAAGTTGGAATCTCATTGCCAGACAAAAAAAATAATTATGAAATTTGAATGACAAAGCTTCCTTATACAGAAAGGCATGCAACTAATAGAAGTAGAGAACAATCAACATAAAAGTTACTATAGAGAAAAAAACAAGGATTAATAAATATAAAAGAAGGAAAAAGAAATTTTTATTTCATGATAAGCCGAAGCAAACATTTCTAAAATAGAAAACTACTTGAAAATTCTTACTAGAAACTATTATAACTACCCTAGGACAATTATTGATTTTTATCAAATAAACCTAAGACAAAGCTTAAAGATAATAACCTAAAGAAAAATATGTGATCAACAAGATATTGATCCAACACTTTTCTTCATATCTTCAATTAATTCTTGTCTCCTTTAGGTGGAGATGGAACAGGTGCATGCATGAACGGCCATGGATGACGATGAAACCATGGATGGGGAAACTTAAAACCACCAGCAGGCATGGGTGGATGGGGGAATGGCCATGCATGATGAAAACCGCCAGCAGGCATCGGAGGATGAACAAATGGCCATGGATGTGGATGATGAAACCATGGAAAATGTGGATGGAACCATGGATGGAACCAATCCAACTCTTTATCTTGTAAGGATGAATCAGATTTTTGCGCAGTATCTACGTTCTCAGTTGCAAAACATAGGTTAAAAAGCAAGAAAATGCAAATGAGAAAAGTAAAACTTTTCTTAGCCATGGTTAATCACTAAGAAATTTAGGGTTTGTACGTACTCTAAGATGAATTATGAAGGTAGCTATAGTGGGGTTTTTATAGGGTTGTAAAGGAAGAGATATTCATAAGTATTAGGAGAGTTTACCTTTATCGAAGATATGGATATTGATTTATGTCAATCATAAATAGTGAAATTTACGTACAAAGAGAATTCTTAAAATGCATGCAATTTGTAGTAGATAAAGAGTGAACAAGATTTCCCTATATCTATTAAAACTCTAATGTGAAAAAGAAAATAAATAAGAGGAGTCCTCGTCTGATCAATTGGAAACAAAAAATCTCTTGATTACAATTAACTTTTATAAAATGAGGAATTGTTTAGTAATCAACTCAATAACTACTATTTAATTTCTACTAGCTAGTGATAACTATAGTCCATTTCTATGAATACTACTAGCTTATTTGACGGCTATGGTTTTGTTTTAAGTTCTTTTTCCTCCCTACTTCTAATTAATTAAATAGATTTTATTTAATCACAGCGTTTGGTTATATGACATGAAAAGCTTTTTAACACTTTTTGGGTTTTTCCGAGATAAAAGTGATGTATTTAACTTAGTGGAGAGACGTCCAAAGTGGACGTTGGTCCTTAGTTAATTTGGTAGATCAGTTTTTTTTTCTAGATTATAAGGTTGCTAAATATTTATCTTAGCTTCACAACCAATATTGTTCCTTTTTTTTTAAAAGTAAATATATATCTAAAAATTACACAATAATAGCAGAAAACCGAACATCAAAGTTAGAGAACATTTTATTTTACTCTCTAAAAAGTTATACCGAACACCTATAAATGTTGAACGAATTACCAAAAGGTATATCCTGCACTCACGCAGGATCCAAGGAAGGGATGCACCATAAGGGGTAATGATGTAATAGTCTAGCCTGACGTAACTATTAATGGATGTGTCTACAGCCCGAACCCATGACTTATAGGTCATATGGAAACAACTTTATCGTTGCTCCAAGGCTTCATTTCTTTCATTCAATAGTATATGCAGGATTTTTCATAAGTGATATCACAATAATCGATGGGTGGTGACCCATAGGAGTTGGGAGATGACGAGAGATATGAGATGTAGAGCCGCAGCAAGCCAAAACAACAATAATGCCTCAATCCCAAATAAAGCGGGACTCGACAAGATGAGTCTTCGCTTCTTTCTTTAAGCTTACTCATATTATCATCATGCCAAAATAAAATAATAATAGTGAAAATAAGTAATAACGGCACATAACTTTTTTTTTGGCAAATTTTCCATTTTCCGTGTCGACAAATTTCATTTCTTGTAGTTGTATCTGTTGCAAAAATTGAAATGAAATGCATAAAATGAAGAATTTATGTGAATCACGCAAAGAACCCTAACTGAACAAAATTGAGAGAAGAGAGAAAATGAGTTGTGCTCTGTATTTCTGAATAAGGAAGAAGAGAAAGTATTGTTACATTGCCTAACTAATTACCTATATACACATCACCTTTCTAACCAATTAACTAATTCCCGCGTGTACACATACATATGCCATTTAACAAAATATAATAATAATATTCTACTCCTATACTACTTCTATTAACTAATACTGACAGCTCATGTAATCTCCATTTCATCACTCCCCTCAAGCTGGTAGGTGCAAAGACATTGAGCAATCCCAGCTTGCCAACTAGATACTCATGTTGTGGCCTTCTTAATCCCTTAGTTAGAACATCTGCCATCTGCTCCCTTAAAGGAATGTATTGAGTTTTCACTAGTCTGTCTTGTATCTTCTTTTTTTATAAATTTTCCCAGGATGCCTGGGGATGTTGTATTAGCAAAATTATAGTTTGATAATACAACACAAGGGTGGAGAATACCCTTCAAAATAATTGAGGCATAGGCGATTATAAATTGTTCGCCCCCTCATAGAATTACAAACTAGCTAACAAAAAAATTGGCCTTGTCATATTTGTTCCTTATGGAAGCAACCTGTCTTTGTCCAGCAAAAAAGGGCCCTTTGCCTGACTAGGCAGTTGTTGGTTAGAATAGAAGTAGGCTGGCTGTTGAGTGTTGACTGCCCTTTTAGCCAAGGAGTCCGCTAATTGATTGGCGTCTCTATAGCAATGGCTAATCTGGAAATTGAAGGTGATGATCGCCTCTCTGATCTTGCTGATTATCTGACTAATCTTGTAGTTGGTTGCACTTCCTTTACGAAGGATCTCTATAATATAAAGAGAGTCCAATTCAAGAATGGCTTGAGTGAAACCATTTTGAATGCACCAATTGATACCAATCCAGGCTGCTTGAGCCTCTACAATGTTGTGGTTTTCAGCATTGTATGGAAGAGAGAATGCCATAATAGTATCCCCCTGGTCGTCTCTGATGACTCCTCCTAACACTGTTTTTTCTTCCCCTTGTAAAAAGCTCCCATCAGTGTTTATCTTGACCCATCCCCTATCCGGCCTTTTCCAGAGAACAACCATGCTTTTGTGCACAGGTTGAAGCCTTGTTAGGAGGTCAAAAAGCTGTTCTATGGAAGTTTTAGATTATAATTGGAAAATACTTTTCTGACTGCAGACTCAATACTCCAAGCTATTTGTTGTTGTAATTTATAATTGTTGAAGCTTTTTTTATCTCCGTACATGCACGCACAAAACTCTTTCCAAAGAAACCAGCAAATAATGATGGGTGTAATGTTTAAAACAAGTTTGTGGACATCATTAGTAGCCTTAGAAGTCCACCATTTATTGAGTATATATCTAATTGGGTAGGGGTGGTACTCTATGCCAAGAGCTTTTCCAAAAAGTTTCCAAGTATAACTAGCAGCTTGACTCTCTAGAAATACATGATTCATATTATTTGCAGTTGGGTCTCTGCAACATTTACATCTGGAAATAATTTGTTTGCCAAAATTAATAATGACATCATCAAAAGGAAGTTTACTATACGAGAGCCTCCAAGCCAGGAAAGAAATTTTAAAAGGGATTGTAGAGTTCCATACCTTGTTGATGAATTGCACTTTAGGACTAGTTTTCCTTACCAAACTCCATGCACTTCTATTTATGAACTTGCCATTGTCTGATATTTCCCAAAAGACTTGATCCTCCTTAGTTTGATTACCTATGGAAATGGTTTGGATATGTTGTACCACATGATCTGGGAAGAGATCTTTAAGCTTGTTGATGTTCCATTGACCTTCTAAAATGAACTCTCCAACCTAGGTTTTGGCACTCTTTGGGACATCAGGTACCAGCATAGTCAAAGGTCCCTTAAGAGACTAATTATCCCTCCAAAAATTACTTGTACCAGAATTTACCTGCCAAACAATATAATTCTCTGCAATATTCCTTATTTTGAGAACATGATTCCAAGCATGAGAATCTCCTGGAGCCAATTGTTTTGAGACCAAATGGGATCTCACACAATATTTGTTACTAATGAATCTAGCCCAAAGAGATGATGTAGATCTTATCCTCCACCACCTTTTCATAGCTAACATATTACTAATATCTTCCAATTTCCTAAGACTTATGCCTCCTTCATCAATAGGGAGAGCAAGATGGTTCCAAGAACTCCAATGATATCTCATGTGCTCCTCAGAGGAACTCCAGAAAAAATTAGCAAAATGCTTCTCAATTAATCTAAACACTCCTTTAGGATGAGTCATAGCAGAGAGAGTATAGACAAGGATAGATTGGAGGACACTCTTAATCAAAGTAACCTTACCACCAGGAGAAAGCAACTTACCTTGCTAGCTATTTAGCCTTTTAACAATCTTACTAATCATGTTATCAAAAAACTTTATTTATTTTCTTCCCACATAAAGAGGACAACCTAGGTAAGTAAAAGGAAAAAGCTTGTCCATAAAACTTGAACACTTTCTAATTCTGTTAATTCTAGTAGCAGCAGTATTAGGAGCAATCAAAAATAGCTTTTATCCCTATTAACCAATTGATCTGAGCTTCTTTCATAACTAC